TATTTTAGTACAAAGATTGATGTTAGAAAAGGATCTGAAGGGGAACCAGGCAAGAACCAGCCATGGACCCATCAAGGAAGGTGGGGAAATTTTAAATGGCTGCTACTGTAGTTTATCCTCTCCTGTTAACCCAGCTACCAGTTTAGAGAAAAGGTTAAAATGTTTCTGTTCTAAGGAGCAAAGTCTTTATCTCCTTGAGGGAAGTTCAGGGTTGGAGCTGAGTATTGCCTGGGGAGCAGTTCCTGATGGGTGTTTGTGTGAAGTGGACCTGGCCTTGTTTGCAGGTCTGAGCTGCAGGATGATATCAGTGGCTGCATGTTAAAGCTGTTAATGGGCCTCTGACAAGGATTAGCTGCTAACCAGGTTAAGTCCAGCGTCAGCAAAACCTGGGATTGCAGCGTTCTGACCCTGTGCTCCACCCTGCTCCTGGAGGACCCTTCGTCCCTGGCTTCAAATTCACAAAGAATCCCACGACTTAAAGCTGCTCCTAAGGACGTCAATTTATGAAGCTGTCAGAACAGATTTTCCTAAAATTTCATTTACAAATCATCCCTCTTTAAAATTTTTCCTTTCAGATTTCTCTGATGGCTTTTTAAATAATCAACTTTTATCTAAACAGGTGGAATCCTAGGAAACGTCAGGAGAATGAGGAGAACTAATGAACCTAAAAGGGTCTGAAGCAGAGAAGATGGAGAGAACAGAGAGCTGATTCAAATCTGACTCTCTTTATTATTTTGGGGAAGAGATAAACTTGATCAACCTATGGAGGGAGATTAAATATCTTCAGCAGGCAGACGAGTTAAAGATTCATCTCTGGTAACTAAATGTTATGGAGGATAAATGAATAACAGGACAAATCTGGTGTAAATGGATGTGATGAACTAGCAGCTTAGCGCGGTTGGGTTGTGTCTGGCACGGTCCGGTTCAGGTGTGCGTTCCGTTGACCCTCAGCAGTTATCAGGTTACACAGGTCTGTAGGCGTAACCTGAGGTTACCATTCATGGACCGATCTCAGCACGGTTATAAACGGGGCTATATCACAGGCATGGGTTCTTGCTCCCTCTGTTTGCTTTCTTTCTTTTTATCATCCTGTAGATTCTCTCCTGCTCTCCTGTGGACAGATTTCTGTGCACTAATGTCCACTTTTGATCACTTTGAGGATGGAACCAACCAGATGAATAAACTGCCTGTGATTGGCTACCTTTCAGGAAAACCTTTTTCTTCCTAGCTGGGAATAGTAGCTTTAGCAAAGCATCTTCAGGCTAATAGCTGTAATTATTATTATAAGTATCAATTTTTAAGAATTGAAAAATTCCCTGGCAAATATATTAACAAACACAGTCTAGGTAGGAAACTGCTCAATAAAATTCTGTCTTAATCCATAGAAAAAGGATGTAAAGAAGAAGTATCTGAAGAAAGGAAGAAGAGAAAAAAGAAGCACCTCCAACAAAAAAGGAGCAAAAAAAGTAAATAACCTCAGAAAAAAAAAAAAAAAAAAAAACCCCGAACGGGCAAACCCCAAGAAAATCAATTAAAACGCAAACCCCAAAAAAAAACCACCCCCCTGGAAACTATCCCAGCCTCTGCATAAAGAACTTTCTGACACACGAACATTTGGAGGAAAAAAATGTCAGAGGATCAAACCTCCAGGAGGAAAGTTCAGGCCGTCTGCTGCAGGCAGAATAATCCAGGTTTTCCTGAAGTGAAAAAGGAATAAGATGGTAGGATCTGCTGCTGCCCTCTGGTGGACAGTCTGTGAACTTCTCACACCAATAAATAAACTTAAAACTGGAAGCTTAGCTCTCCTGCAGCTTCTGTTCCCAGTAGCACCAGTTCAGGTGATACTGGGAAGATTATGAGCTTTTGTCTGAGCAGCTGGAGGGTTGTTTGATTCTGAGCAGATTATTTTTCCCTGATCAAATCCTAAAACATTTTAGACTTGCTGACAATAAAAAAAAAAGAATCTGAGAACAATAGCGCTGATATCTGCTTGTGTGAAGGAGGACAGAACGCTTACATGTCCTGTGAAGGCTCCGCCCCCTGAACAGGTTATGATCATTGACAGGTTCTTAGTTTGGCTGGATAGACTTTAAACCAATCTGCAATCACTCCCTGATAACACCTGGACCTGTTACCATGGAAACAGGCCATGCTGTTCAGTGTCACCACAGCGGCTTTATTTGTATGTCCAAACCCACTGATAGGCTGAACTGTTGACCCTCAGTGCCCAGTGATTACACTTCCTGCTGTTGCTCACCTGAGGTTGTGAAACCAGGTGCGGCCTGATCGCCGTGACAACCCTTTGATGGGAGTATCCATAAAAGGTTGGAGTGCCACCCTCCACCCCTCCACTCCCGCGTTATCAGTCACAGAGCAGATAAATGTTATCAGAGGAACCTCGCCATGTCTGTGAACGCTGCACCCTTCAGCAGAACCTGAACCTGGATCTGTTTATTTCAGTCAATCAATCAGGACACTTTACAGCAGCACAAACTAAACTTATAAATACTTTCGGCAACTAAAGTCACGTTTACTGTCAGAACAACTCTGCTGCTGATCCGGTAACACCTCTGGGTTCAGAACATCTAACAGGAAGATCCTCCAGAATAAGATCAATAACTCTGAGAAAGGTGGGAGAGGAGGTCTGGAAAGGGCTGATGGAGGTGGAGGCAGATTGCCCTCTATGGCAACAGGGACTATTTCTTAGGCAGATTGCCCTCTATGGCAACAGGGACTATTTCTTAGGCAGATTGCCCTCTATGGCAACAGGGACTATTTCTTAGGCAGATTGCCCTCT